AAGCTCTCAGGAAAAAAGCAAAGTCGATTGTACGATTCTGACTATATCATGAGCATGTGTTTATGAATTACTATCAAATAGGTGATTTATAGATGAGTAATTACACGTGAACACAGCGCTTTATAGTCAGATGTCAATTGTCCTCTTCATTTGACATTATCATCTCCACAGCACCACACAAACAGCCATGAACAATCACAAATCACTGTGAACCCAGGGTACGTCAATACATCCACAGGCCCGCCTAATCCGTGTCATAACAGTAAGTATAAACAATTCTGTCAGAATAAAGATATTGAAAAAACGTAACATCTCACTGAATTGAGTAATTGAGTTGGGTTTTACGCCGCATTTAGCAATGTTCCAGCATCATCACGGCGGGAGACACCAGAAGTGGGCAGCACACATTGTACCCATGTGGGGAATCGAACCCGGGCCTTCGGCGTGACGAGCGAACACTTTACCCACTTTAATACTACTTATAGTATTTTTCAATTTAATACCTGCAATCCGGTTTTGTCCCTGAATGCTGGCTTATAGGTATGATTAAACCGTATTTATAGATTTTTCAAAAGCATTCGACACTGACTGGCGAGCCGGGTTGTGGTATAAAGTACTTAACTGTGGATAAAGGGAAAGTTCGTGACACTTATTAAAATTATGTATCATGATATTAAATCTGCAGTAACACTGGGTAATCAAACATCGGCACATACGTCCCATGCAACTCTGGTGTAAGACAAGGTGAACATCTCTCCCCTCTACTTTTTTCTATTTTTATTAATGATACATTTTCGGTCAACCTGGAATATATGTCTGACAAGCATATCATGCTACGGCAACAGGTCATTGTCTTATTATGTGCTGATGATGCTGTTTTATTTAGCGATGACCCATTAGAATTATGAAAGCCACATAATGCATTTAAACAATATTATTCATAAAGGAAGTTAGTTAGTGGTTACTATTTCCAAGATAAAAAGTGTTGTCTTCGGAAGTGGCCCCGCCAAAAATTCTAAGACATCAGTTATGTTAGGCAAATATTGTATTAGAAATAGTTTATAAATACACTTACTTAGGTATCAAACTAAAGAAACGGTAGATTTGTATCAGCAATTAATATGTTAGAAAGTGCAACGCAAACCATGTTTATATCATTGCAGAAAGCACGGTGTGCCACTATACCCTTAGATTGTATACTATCAGTATTTGATGCCATGGTTGTTATTATTACGTTATATGGTTTTGAAAATAGGGGGTTTGAAAATATAGAGAGTGAGTATGGTTTAACGCCGCTTTGAACAATATTCCAGTTATATCGCGGCGTGTCAGCTTAATCAGGGAGGAAAGCCCGAAGTGATGCAGGTCTCAGACGTCTACCACTTCGGTGAAACCCACGAGCACGGGTATGGTGCTGCCATAATCGGGGCGAACCGGAATTCGAACCCACAATCATAGGTTTCTGGCGTGCCCAAGGGACGCAATTCTGCACAGCGAATCGCGGCGCCTTAGACGACTGGGCCACCCGTTTGAAACTATAAATATAATTGAAAGGTACATTTAAAATTTCTCAGGTTTGCATCTAGGCTTCGAAGTTCGACCCCAAATTTCGCTTTATGGCGAATTTGGAAGAGGACCTTTATACGTAAGAATTTACAACAGAGTTATCACATTTTGGTATAAAATTCCAACAAATTATGAAACCCTCAAATAGGCAAACTTGTTGTACAAATATATTTCTTCAAATGCTGCTGAAAAGTTACGATGGATATTATTTGTCAGGATATACTCGAAGAGTGTGGTTTTAATGAGGTGTTTACAAATCCGCATCAATATACTACACCTTGGTTGGTTTCCATGGACGAAAACATAATGAAAGATCAAATTTTCCAAAATTGGCGTAGTTCTATCACGAAAAGCTATTATCAATACAACAAAAAATATATGTTTTAAAAAATATATTTTTATGCCAATCGCTATGTAATACCCGATTTTAAAATTCAGAGCTAATATTTAAAATTCAGAGCTAATATCTAAAAACCAGAGCCAATATTTAAAATTCAGAGCTAGGAACCATTACCTACCGACTGAAACCGGTCGCTGGAGTAATACGCTTCACCAACAGAGGATATTGTATTTTCAAGAATTAGTGTCATATATATTGGTCTAATCAGTGTCAGTTACAGTTATTTTCTCTGCTCGTAAACCAAAAACATATTTTATTATGGTATTTTTTAATATGTTATTTTATTCATAAGGACACACGGAAAAACAAACACCAGACACACAGTGCATACTTACTGTATACTGTTGTTAATACTAACATTAATAAAATATGTTATTAAATATAAGTTACAAAGCCCTTTCCATAATCAAAATCATAGTCCATTGTACGATTCCAACTATATCAAAAGCATTTGTTTATGAAACACTTACGGACACTTACACCGTTGTCAAACAAGACTGACAAGGGTATAAGGATCTAAACCGAAACGTCGCTATTACAGTATTATAAGGAAGTTATCCATACACTTTGTCTACTTTGTCATCCATCAACGTCTAAGAAATGCCTATCAAACAAGTCCAGATGTAGTCAAATTGTGCAAATATAGTTTGGGTGTACCTTGTCGGAGGCAATTTTCTAACGTTTCCTTAACTCAGAATTATGATATCCCTGTATATATATCGTTGTACCTTTCTCCGGGTCTCTCGTACTGATTACATACTGAGATGATTAATTGGAGTCTCTGCTTCCTTGAAACTGAATCTCGCCTTTGAAATCAGCTAAAGTTTCAGTGTGACCTCATACTGACGGAGTAGGATGATCACCCAACTCTTGCGTGACGTCAGTCCTCCTTGCACGGGGAAACAAGTGATTGGTCATGTCATATCCCAGCCGGTCTCGATAATTGTCACAGACGTAAAAAAAGTTGTTTTTCAATATGATTTGGGGTTCTATTAACACTGTTTTCCGGATAAAACTTACTTGCATTTCCACATAATTTTTTTTAATTCACTTGCGGGTTATATAGTATTGATATTATCGCACAAAAGTGACATGTTGGCAGTTTGTGAAATAAAAAAAAAACAGGCTTCCATCATGACCAACAGATTTTCGAATTTGCAGGCCATGATTTAATTCTTCAGGCCCTATTAAAACACTGCAATGTACTGCCGGTCATAAGGAGCCATACAAATTTGAAACTAAGGGCCCGACACGAGATCTACCCGACACGGGCCTACGGGCAGACGCTTATTTGGAACACAGCATATAGGTATTTTTGTGGGATTTATATGTTTTCCGATTTGATCAATTCAACAAGAAATGTTTCTGTCTGAAAGGAGTGAGTGAGTGAGTGAGCCGCTTTTAACAGTATTCCAGTTATATCGCGGCGTGTAAGCTTAATGTGGTAGGAGGCACGAAGTTATGCAGGTCTCGAACGTTTACCAATTCGGTGAAACCCACGAACACGGGTATGGTGCTGACAAACCTAGATACATAATCGGGGCGAACCGGGATTCGAACCCACCTATCTTGAAGGAGGAAACAAGTACTAACATTTCTTTCATCACTCTTTGATAACGACTCATAAACACATGCTCGTGATATAGTCGGAATCGGAATATCGACTCTGCTTTTAGAAGATGTTTTTTACGAATATGAGAAGGGTATTCCCGTTTTTTTTCAGGACATTCAACGACTGATGAAATATCTCTTAACCTTAGGCAAAATTACCCACCCACCCTACCCTCACCCCACCAACTTCCGACCTTCAAAACCCTACCCTCACCTCACCCTGACCCATCTTCACCCGACCTTCACCCTTCACCCTCGCCCGACCTTCACCCTTCACCCTCGCCCGACCTTCCCATCACCCTCGCCCGACCTTCACCCTTCACCCTCGCTCCACCTTCCCATCACCCTCGCCCGACCTTCACCCTTCACCATCGCCCGACCTTCACCCTTCACCCTCGCTCCACCTTCCCATCACCCTCGCCCGACCTCCAACCTTCACCCTCACCCAATCTTCCCATCACCTTCACCCCACCTCCCCCCATCACCCTTGCCCGACCTCCACCCTTCACCCCACCTTCCCACAACCCTCGTCCCACCCTTACCTCAGCCTCGCCCCTCTTTCCCACCACCCTCACCAGACCATCGACCCACCTTCACCTAACCCTTACCTCACCTCACCCTCGCCCCACCCTTAACTCAACCTCGCCCCTCTTTCCCACCACCCTCACCAGACAATCGACCCACCTTCACCTCACCCTTACCTCACCTCACCCTCGCCCCACCCTTAACTCACCCTCGCCCCACATTCAACTCACATCACCCCACCTCAACTCACACACACCTCACCTCATCCTAACCCCACCTTCACTCCTCCCTTACCTCACCCTCACCCCTCCTTCCAACCGGGTCGATTTGTACATTGTGTTAAACAACAACACATGCGTGTGGGGCTATATGACAAGTACCATGTTAGTTTATAAACAACACCCCACTGTAGATGGCAGCTCCACGGGGGTCTGTCTGATGGTAGGAAGACTTTGTGACACGGGATTCGAAGCCAGGAAATCTGCCATAAGAGACTTATCAATATATTTGAAAATGTCCTTGATGTCTATCAATCCAGTCCAAAACGTCGGTTCCAAATATTATTTCTTAGAATGGAATACTCAATATCACCTGCAATCTTCAAAGTCTATAGATTTTCCAATTTGCAGAAACCGATCATGAATCGACCTGCTGTTGCATATTTCCATACATATTAAGATAAAAATACGTGGAAGATACAAATGAAATAAATCAGTTGATTATTTGATCTGAAAGCAGCATTCTACAAATCCGTGCATAATGCATCACACATTCAGTGCGTCAAGATGAAGCACACACCATCTCACATGCATGCAGCAAATGTCATTAACTCCTTCAGCGGTGATGAATGCATCAATAATATCGATACTGATATCTCATGGACCTTTTGTTATTTCAGCCCAAACCCGAGAAACGACTAAGAGCTTTGACGCCGACAGCGGATTTCATTAATCCAAACCGGTGAAAATCACCCCCATGACTTGTGTTCTACAATGAGTTCTACAAGTCGATAATCCTGACCGCTTCATTGATGCTATTGAGTCACCTGGTGTCTATTACTAGCGGCAAGAGGTGGTCGTAGTGGTGGACGTGTCAACACACCCTCAGGCAGATCGCCAAATATAACGATGTATCCACAGAGGTCGTTCACCACCTAACAGTAATCTGGTCCCATTCATAGAACACTATCTGCACGATCATCGGAAAACTGTGAGACCCTAAGTGATTAAAGTAACACTGTTACAAAATGGATTGTACCCTTAAAGCGTAGAGTGCTATAACGAGATCGAGAGTGAGATATACTAGGAAATATACATAACAGTGAAGATCTACACTTGTTAGAGAGTGTCGTGTTTGGTGTCATCGATATCGCAATTTTGTAGAACTACCCTGTCAATGCGGCATTTCGTTTCATATTAGTCGGATGGCGGATTTTATTTCAAAATATTTGGTCGTTTGTCGAAAAGCATACACATATAATCCGAATTTTCGTTTTGGTGGGTTTGTAGGAATATAGGATGAAAATGATAAAGGCAATCTCCGTCCTCCCTTTTTGTGCAATGTGACTGAAGTTTTAAACACTACAAATCACCCACTGTTAGGACTACCTATAAAACTATGAGTAGCATTTAAGAAAATAATATCTGACTATTAGTCCACTGGTTTCAATAGCCAGCATTATTATCGGCGTTAATGAGAAAACGGTCAAATAGATATTTTGCACATTCCTTTTTGTTTTGGTCGGGTCGTAAACCAGGAAATTGAAAAGCAAAAAAGCCTGGGCTTCGCATGCGAATGACGGGAAGCTTGGCTCTGTCGCACTCATTCCCAGAACACGCAGAGCGCATGCACAGAAATAGGTAGCAGGTGGAGCGGCTAATCCAACACCTAGACTGCCAGGGCTAGTAATTATCGCCATACAAGTACCACGTGATCAGCAATGACGGGGTGACACTTTTAGGATATTTGCCGACCTTCAGGAGAAGGATCAGGATTGAGCTTTGGATGTACCGACAACCGACAGGAAATGTTCCGAGGACCCAATAATGTGACCCAATAATGTGATATCTGCTTAGGACGCTGAAAGGACATAAATTCATGGAATGTTTCACGCAATGAATGGATGTGGATCAAACTGTTTTGTTCTTCAAGTAAGTTTCGTGGTGGATAAATTCGCGATCTTGGTGAACAAGATTTAACTTAACTTTATATATGTGAGGCCAAATTGGACCAAGGAGTTTTGAAATGATCTACAGGAATCACAAATGGCATTTATGTTTTCGCATGCTCAAAAGACATTGTGTTGACATTAGCATTGAACTGTTTGCTAATTCCATCTAATAACGACTTGGATAAACAATTCCAATTTCTACTCGAATCAAAGTTACCATAGGTTAAAATCAGCAACTACTTACCATGAAAAACGTGAATTTGACATTTAATTCATATTTTACTTAAGACGTAGTTAATGCAGCTTTTCCGAAGAGCGATATAATCGTGAAGTTAAAAGAGTTTACCTGACATCTTATATACCATTATTAGGATAGGTTTTACATGTTATAATGGAAAACAGGATTAAGTAACTCTTCCATATTCCATGCTTTGAAATATGAGACCGCGCGACTATTTCTTTTAATTAATATATGTATACCATCAATTTATCAATTGCTTTGTACTACGTAACATAAGAATACTGAGGTGATATGAGTTAATATATAATTTAATTTTACAAACCAGGACGTCATTTTTCGACTAATGGCAGTAATGACAGCCAGTAATTTGGAAAGAAGGGGCAGGTGGTCTATTGGTTGAACATTTATGCATGTCTATTTCTGCGATGCTCCGAGATGACCCTTGGGTTAATGTCAGTGATGAGGTATTGATCTTACTTGTAATGGAACGAGCCGCTGGGTGGGTCTTTGGCATAGTTTTCTAACTTGCAAGTGGCTCACAGTTAATGCCTTACAAGGACTATGTGATCGTGAATAGATACAGTTTGTACTTTGGGAGTTTGGTTCTCCAGGAATACTTTGTCGGACTACGCTTACTGCCACCACCCTTGTTAGGCCAATCTGTATGTGAACCTCTTTGACAAGGTTCAATCAGTGTTGTGTCCAGTGTGTCTGAAAACATACGCTACGATGGATGTGTTGGATAAATGTGGAAACATGACGAAATCTCATTGAACAATGTCAGTGAGTTCAGTCACTAATGAAGACACAGTGAACATGGGATATTACAACTGTAGAAATCATTGTTAATTATACTTCATCAATGTCATTCTCAATGGCTAAGATTATAGTACCTTTGGTACTTGTCGCCATGGTGAGATTCCCTTCAATATCCCCCAAAGTCATAAATCTTGGAATCCTGGTGCCAATCACGGGTCCAAAAAGAATGGGACAAGAAGTTCACACCGCCGTCAACATCTCCATCGAACGAATCAACTACGACGCTAATCTGACCACACTACGACAGATGAACATTACATTCTCCTTCGTGGTTGAAGACACAACTTGCGATTCTGGACAGGGGCTTTTTGAGTTCGTCGAAATGGTTACTCATAGGACTATCGCCTTCGAGAACACCCACGCCTTTATTGGTAGGTACCACAGCTATATATTCTCATTATTTAGACGATGTGCCTGTGCCATGCGATGCTGAGGCCTGTTTGGCCGTGTCGTCAAAGGTACAGCTATTTGCTGCAGTTTGTTTATTTGTTTGTTTGTTTGTTGTTTAACGCAACTCTCATCAATATGTCAGCTATATGATGGCTGTCTGTAAATAATCGAGTCTGGACCAAACAGTCCAGTGATTCACATCATGCGCATCGAGCCACGCAATTAGGATACGGTGACATGCATCAACCAAGTCAGCGAGCCTGACCACCCGATCCCGTTAATCGCCTCTTACAACAAGCACAGTCGCCTTTTACGGCAAGCATGGGTTGCTGAAGAGCTATTAATGAGAAGTAACAATTGAGGGATTTCAGTTTTCACCTGTTCTCCATACTAAAGGACCTCCTTAGCTTCGAACCCCGGTTCGTCTTGATAATGTTCCTGTTTATCAACACAGTGACCTTAAATGTCTAAGACCTGTATTGCGTCGGGTTTTCCAATCACATTAAGGAAACAGGCCCTGATATAGCTGAAATAGGGTATAATGCGGCGTTAAACACAACTCACTCACTCACTCACTCACTCACTCACTCACTCACTCACAAGAGATTACTAAAGTGAGTTAGGGAATATGATGTTAAGCCGCTTTAAGAAATATTCCAGAAATATCACGGCGGGGGACACCAGAAATGGGCTCAAACATTGTATCCATGTTGGGTATCGAACCCGGGTCTTCGGCGTGCCAAGCGAACGCTTTAACCCCTAGGCTACCCGCACACCTTGAGATACCTAAATGATTCGTCATCGTGCGTTGTAGTGTCATTCGAACTCATGCTGTCAACCTATAGTTCACCTAGTTTACCGTCTTGAAAAAATGGTAATATATTGCAAACTCTGTATACAGTGTTCCCATATTAAAGATACTGTTTGTTTATTTGTTGTTTAAAGCCGCTCTCAGCAATATTTCAGCCTTATAAAGGCGTCTGTAAATATAAATAATCGGGTCTGAACCAGACGATCCAGGGATTGATATCATGAGCATCGATCTATGCAATGGTCCACGTGGACAAGCATGGGTTGCTGAAGACCTATTCTACCCCGTATCTTCACGGGTCTTATAGACCGTCGTGCAATTGCTGGAACATATATATGGTTGCGCTGTTTTCAGTTTCTGTGATCTTAATCCCTATAGCTGTGTTATCTGAGTTCAGCATTAAACAACAAACAAGTAAACAAACCCGTAGTTCGTGACAAGCGGGGTGTATTTTTAAGATCGTTAATTAATCTGCGGAAACTTATCATCACATCGCCTTAAACGCCATATTGGGTTGTTGGAGTTCGGATTGATGGGTATTCTAATTATGTCAATGTGTAGTATCATATGGTTGTTTGTCTGGATTCGAAATTTGTGCAAAGGCCTCTGGGCGTAATTGGATATCCATAATGTAAATGCCTTATTCAAGGTTCAAGTTACTGTAACAGTTTCAGGCCTTTCAGTATTAGAGCGTCACATCTATGTGGCTAGTGACAGAATTCCGAGCATGGTTACCTGGCCGATCTAGATACTGTGATTAAGTATTATTTAACGTCCTTTTTAGTAATATCACAACCCGAAAATGGCGTCACACATTGAAACCATGTGGGGAATCGAACCCAGGCCTTCAGCGTGAATTGCGACGCTTTAACAACTGGACTATTCCCAACGCGTCCTATCTGTTGTGGCCTAGAGGTTTAAGCGTCGCAATTCACGCTATAGGCCTGGGTTCGATTCTCCACATGGTTTCAATGTGTAGAACCCATTTCTGGTGTTGTGGTATTGGTGGAATAGGGCGCGACGCTGCTTGTGGCAAAGACAGCAAACACTAGATTACATATTGTTCACATCATATGTCTAAAGTGTTCTGACAGCAATTGTGCTCCAGTTGACGATAACTTTACTTTTACAACAATAAACGATAATGAATACTTGGTAGGGTTGCAGGAGAAAATTTGTTTCATGGTAATCTTAGAAATCGAAGATAATTACATAATGACAATAATTCAGGAATTATTGCTTTGTGGGCAATTGCGACGGGGAAACGTACACACTATTATGATCTTAATATGTTCTTGTGTCAAAGAGTCTGGTATTCGCATCAAACTGAAACTTTTGTTCTACATTGCAACTTTGCAATTTCTCTTCAAGAATACCGTATTTTCCATTTCTTAAACACGTAGACTTTAGAAAGACTATTGTTCCTGCTACAATTAAAGCACCAGTAATAATAGTCAACTTTATATAAATAATACGGTTTCATATTGAATAAGGGTCGGTGTGGTAGCCGACTGGTAGAAGTGTTTACTCGTCAATCCCGGTTCGGTTCTCAACGTGCGTACAATGTGTTAACATTTTGTCTGGTGTCCCCTGCTGTGATATTGTTGGAATATGCTAAATAACGGCATAAACCCATTCTCACTGACAATTGAAATTACTGTTGCTAGCGATTGTGGTGATAAGAGTGTATATTGTTCGTCATCCTGATAAATTTGAAACGCTTATACAATTACTGTGAAGCCATGCTAGTTCTGCCCCCAGTAGTCTTTGGTGAGTGAGTGAGTGAGTTGGGTTTAGCGCTGCTTTTTACGGTATAACAGTTATATCACGGCGTGTCAGCTTAATGTGGGAGCAAAGACCGAAGTGATGCAGGTCTCAGACGTTACCATTTTTGTGCACGGAAATGGTGCTGACAAACCTAGAAACATAATCGGGCTGAATCAGGATTCGAACCCACAATCACAGGTTTCTGGCGTGCCCAAGTGAATCAACTCTGCAGGGCGAATACCGGCGCCTTAGACGACTGGGCCCCCCGTCACGTTACGTGTGTGTGTGCGTGCGTGCGTGCGTGGCACGGACTAATGCGGATTTGTTAGTGCTAGCCCACTGCTCTTAACATGAATACCCCTATGAGACACAGCCGACCTCGACTGCGTGTACTAGTTCAGACTAATGCCGGTTAATAGTGCTAAGCCCACTGAGATACCCCGCTTAACAGTTTAACATGAACACCCCACTCAGTATATACCGACTCCGAACCGATCAGTCCTCCTTATAGCCCCTAAATCATGAGCGCCAGGCAGGGTAACAACAAGTCCCATCTTTTAACGTCGTTTGGTATGAAGTGGATCGAACCCCCGACCTTCTGTTCTCTGTACACTAGACCACGGAGGCAGCCCGTCTGTGTATATTTAGATAGACATACAGTTGATACTTGGTACGTTTATCCGGATACTTGTCAATCCGGACAATTTTACTGGAATTGTACCTGTCCGGATTAATGAAGTTTCATCGTACCCTTCAAATTCATCATCATCCCTGACAGACTAGTGTATTCGACTCTAAGCGGATATGGATAAAGTAATATCATTGTCTGAATGATACAAGCAAGTACGGGACGATGGCTTTTAGAATGCGTGATCACGTAGAATTAGTGCCCTCCGTTAATAGAGATAATAGAGAAACGATATTTGTATAGACTCGGGGATTCAGTGCGTTACGTATTTTCCTTGAATAACATTTGCGTCTAGAAGCAACGCATCATATTCGGTTGATCTGATAAATACTCACTGAAATTCATTATACCCGGGTATCTTTAATACCGTACAGAATACCCGGTATACGAGAGTCCTTGTTATCCAATAACTCGTCAGTAAGAGGTTGGGTAGCCTTGACGTTAAAGTGCTAGTTCGTCACACTAAGTTCCAGGGGCCCGTTCCACAAAGCGATCTTAGTGCTACGACTGTCGTAAGTCTATGTTAAAATATGGGAGTTACGATCGACTTTGCGCTACGATCGCTTTGTGGAACGGGACCCGGTGCCCTGGCCCCCGTTCCACAAAGCGATCTTAGTGTAAAGACGATTGCAACTCCATACTTTAACATAGACTTCTGGCAGTCGTTGCACTAAGATCGCTCTGCTGAACGGGCCCCTGATGGGTGCAATGCGTGAAGACTCAAGCCTTTGGCGTGACGAGCTTACAACAGTGAGGCCACTTCTTGTTCGACATCATGGCGGTTCATGTTGGCTAATGTGTGTCGTTCAACCCAACAACGCGAATTGTTCTTTCAACCACCGTTTGCCTGATCTAGCATGGACACCTGGGCCCACTTGCACAAAGCGATCTTAGTGCTAAGATGATTGTATACGTAACTCCCATACTTTAACATAGGCTTACGATAGTCTTAGCGCTAAGATCGCTTTGTGCAAGTGGGCCCAGGTGCCCGTTAGTCGCCTCTTACGACAGGCAAGGGTTGCTGAAGATTCTTATACGGATCTTCAAAGGATACTTGTAATTAGTTTCCATTGTGAACCTGAGACATTGTGTATATGCATTTAAGGTAATGACCAAGTGTAAGAGTACTAAACTTTAATAGAGTGAGTGAGTGAGTGAGTATGACAAGCAGACAAGCATACTATGCTTGAAAAAGCATAGGCGTACACAACAAATATAAGTTAACCTCTAAGTAAAAATATCTATGATTTTGCATTCAAGACGTGAGATGCCCAGGGAACCTATTCTGCCCCAGAATCCCTGTGGGGAGACAGGAAGTAGTGTCTTATTTGAGTGAGTGAGTGAGTGAGTATGGTTTTACGCCGCTTTTAGCAATATTCCAGCAATATCACGGCGGGGGACACCAGAAATGGGCTTCACACATTGTACCCATGTTGGGAATCGAAGCCGGGTCTTCGGCGTGACGAGCGAACGCTTCAACCACTAGGCTACCATACCGCCCCAAACTTTAATGGAAGTTACATAGCATTGAAGTATATCAAACATACAAGGCAAGGACTGCCAGTTTCTCAGAGCTTAGATCCCCTTTAACCAGCATGTCTATCCACCCACAGGACCTTCCTGTAACGACGTGTGCCTCTCTACGGGCCGGCTGGCAGGGAAATGGGGAATACCCCTCGTCAGTTTCGGCTGTGAGAGTGACGTCCTGTCAAACAAAGAACACTACCCAACCTTTCTAAGGACAACGGGCACCTACACGGGCATGTCGACGTTCTTGTTGGAGATGATGCTCCATTTCCATTGGTCAAGACTGACCCTCGTTAGTGGCCAGCAGAGCGTGTGGGTGGAGGCAGTGGCGGAATTCGAGGTAGGTGTGCACATTTCTTTTAGAAACAATAGTTATTATTTGATACAATAGTTATTATTGCATATTTACAGTACATCGTATCAAACGGTTCTATGCATACTCATGTCGTTAGATTATTGTCACCCCTGATGCATACTCAGATTACATTATCAGCTTCCTGGGGAGTACACAACCTAGAGATTAGGTTTTGCATTCAAATTAGCATCTCATCCTATCCATTCGGTGCTGGATGAAGTGAGGCATAATTCGAACAAAGACATTTACACGAAGAGACACCATACGTGGTTCAGCGAGAAGCACCCGTGAAGATCCAGGTATCAATTGGTCTCCAGCGACCGTGAAGGTGACAAACAGGGTCGAATGGTCAGGCTCGCTGACTTGGTTGATGCATGTCATCGTATCGATGGTCAGGATGTTAGTCTGGAATGTCTGGTCCAGACTCGATTATATACAGACCACCGTCATATAGCTGGAATATTGTTGTGTAAAAAAACACACACACACACGTAAGCACGCGCGCGCACGCACGCACACACGCGCACGCACACACACACAGATGTTGTTCAGGACTGAGGACCTGGAAGGTCACCGCGCATGGGTACCAGTCCAGCACATGGGTTTTGTCCATGTTGAACCAATTTTGTCTCTCCATACATTTTTCACATACCGATCTTAACGGTTGAAATCGCAGTGTGTCTAAACCGGACTGCACATTAACGCCAGTAAAATATTAATATTAAGTTACCGTTATAAAATTATTTATTTCTATTGTCGTGACTTCCACCAACCACCGCACACGTTATGTGCGTAAACATATTCCACGGCCTTGCCTAAATCAAACCGTCTGGGAAATACAATGAGTTGTGTCCCCACAATTACGTCGAAGCAAGCGCCGTTACCTAGGCAACTGTAAAAAAATACTTTCGTACACGTCAACAAAATATTTATTTACAGTTTTCCTTTTTTTAGTAATAACGGACCATCCGGGTCATGTTTCTGATCCGAGAACGAGGCTAAACAGGACAATACACCTTGGTCGGTCTGATCGAAGATTCAACGTTGGCAACTGACCGTAGACACGATCCATATTTCTCATTATTTCATACTTGTGTCTTTCGAACGGTTTTACGAATCCATAATTGACGAATAAATCCCACAAAACAATTTACAAGGCTTCGTCTACATGTTTAAGAGAACGACGGTAGAAATTGCTTCCGCAATCAAATATGGCGCTACTATGATGTCCCAAAGCATCCCGCACAAATCGAACAATTGTTTAATCAATCGTAACGGGGAAGGAAAAATGAAAGCAAAGGTATAAGTTACATTTGAAACCATTACCCAGGTAAAGACAATGTGATTAATGCTAAGTGCTGTCCCGGTCGCTTCTGTAACTCGAGATAGCGGTGATGGATAGAGGTGGTGCACGTCAGACTGTAGCGCTACACGTCTAGAACCTGTAGCTGAACACAGTAAAGACCTGTTGTTTTGGATGGTGATTTGGGGGCTGTTCCCAGGCATCATCCATCATCCATCATATAACGTTTCCACGGTTATATTGACGACTACTAGTGTACCGATGTAGTTTCTTTGACAAAGACAAAGCAGGCCATCAGGAACTGGGTATCGACGTTCGGTACTGTTTGATCAGCTGACTGTATCATTATCTATATAAGGGGAATCCGATATTTGGTTTACTCACGAGGCGTCGTAGGTGATTTATTACAGGTGAAAGCAACGCTAACGCTAGGGCGTCTGGCGTTAGTAAAACATGACAAGCAAAACTCAGCGGAATCCCATAGCACATACCTCCTCAATCTAATAACCTCACTTTCATGGAGATGAGGTGAGGTGAGGTGAGGTGAGGTGAGGTGAAATGGGGTTTAACGTCGCGTCCAAGATGATTGCACTTATATAGCGACGTGCATGCACGTGTATGTGTGTGTGTGTGTGGCTGCTTGTACTAGTTCGGACTGATTCCGATTAATAGTGCTAGCCCACTGAGATACCATGCCGCAGTTTAACATGAATACCCCACTCAGACACAGTATACTGACTCCGAGCCGACCAGTCCTTGTTTTAGCCCCTTAATGCCGAGCGCCAGACAGGGTAACAACAAGTACCATGTTTTAACGTCTTTTGGTATGACGCGGTCGGGGATCGAACCCCGGACCTTCCGCTCTCCGGGCGGTCGCTCTCCGGGCGGTCGCTCTACAACTAGACCACGGAGGCGGTCTCAAGGATATGAACGCAGAAAGGACAATCATGTATATAGTTGGGTTTTCTCTGTTAATCCGGTCACTTAAAATTCCTACCAGATTCAACTAGTTCGGGTTAGTTGTAAATATTAGTCTGCCATTCTGTATTACTTAATAACATATTTTATTGTATTCATTTATTTAATCTGATGGAATTATGTTGTTCCCAATGATAACTTGAAAATCGAACAGAAAGTATGAAAATACATGTTATTGAATTCATTATGAATAGGGAGAGCACAACGGAAAACAAACAGTAGTCATGTGGTGCGTACTTAATTTATACTGTGGTTGATACCAGAATTGTTATTAAATGTTATTAAAAAAAGTAGAAAAACCTTTCCATAATCATAAGAAATCGTCCATTGTACGATTCCGACCATATCATAAGCAGTTGCTTGTGAAGCACTCGTGACAGTACCAGGTCTTCGGGAAAAGGTAAGCGTACGGTGGCACACGTTAAACACATGCAAAGGGAAGTCAATTCTTCACCTAAATAAAGCAACAAATATGGTACTGGCCAGAAAAAGGGAATCATTTTGGGCACTGATGCTTTAAATTTGGAAATGTCCTTCACGTGTCTACCATGCGAGGTTACTAGAGTTGTAAACCTGATCAAACAATTTTACCACTTCGGTGAAACCCACGAGCACGGGTATGGTGCTGATATAGCAGGTGGAGGGACCAGGGATTGTGCGTTTTGAACCAATACAGAGAGCACGAACGTGACGACCATTGGTGCGAAGCAGTCACAACAAAGGCCCAGATCGAGGATTCGACAGTTGTGTATTGATTAGTATATTCAAGATCAAATAAAAGATTACAAGAATAAAACGTTATTAGTATATAGGTATAAGTAATTAAGTTAGATTTGTCAAAACCAAATTAGAACAAAAAGCTTTTGTCGGCGGTAATGAGCATTAATGCCCTGTGAAAGCCGGTGGTCTCTGCGTTGTGCAACAATGACCTAATCGTACCCCCTAGGCTACCATTGTCAAAGCACGGCGCTTGTGCTCGAGGGCTTTTGGCACATTATTTCAGGGTATAAGGATGCATCATCATGCCACACAGAGGGGGTCAACAATCTTTAGTTCTAATTTGACATGAAATATAAATAAAGTTGCATATCTACATATACGTTTCATTAAATCAAAACTTATTATGACAATAAAAGGGTTATTGCACAAAACATTTATGAGCATACAAACGAACATTGCACAGCACATTTTATAAACATACAACGAACATTGCACAACAAATTTGATAAACTTACAAGGAATATTGCACTGCAATTTTGTGAAGATACAAACATGGATACCCCACTCAGACCCCGAATACTCTCAGCAGACTATATATAGCTATCCCTTGTCTTATTCCCTTTACGCCAAACGCCTGGCAGGGTAACAACAAGTACCATCTTTTAATGTCTTTTGGTCTGATTTAGAAAGGGGATCGAACCACCGGCCTTCCGTTCCCCGGGAGAGCTTTATCCACTTGACCACGCGGGCGGTCCAGGTCCGCCTACATCGAGCGGTACACTACAATACTTTAACTTATAGCGAACGTGTCACAACTGGTACGAAACTACATCAGGCCTTGAAACAAAACGACATAAAGCTACACTGCACTTCCACGGATATCATTTCAAGACAATGCAAAATATGTCTATTTATTATGGAACAACAAACCCCTCTTAAAATAATCATTTCAAATTCTTTCCGCCCGCTGTGCTGTGAACACAATACTGTCAAACTCTGTTTACAACATGCGTTAATACACCTTGACACGTACGTTCGCTACACGGTTAACGGCCACTGATTCAATCTGTTGTTATTGTCAGGCAGATGGCGATGACACGAGTGTGCTTAATGCTCCACGCGTGCCAAACTGCATCCTGCACTAGTAGTGCTAATTGTGATATCACATGATACATTAACACCCTGCAAGGAACTTATTGAGCAGAATGATTGCCAAAGCATTCGCTACAGGACAGCTGTTCGTGGTTCCTAACACGCTTGGGCAACACGTGTGTAATATCATATTCAATATTCCACAAAACCATTATCTGGGCAGTATTGTCTTTGTTTGATTATATGTATGTTTGCAATGAAGTATAATTACAATATCTGAAGCGCACAGGGTTATTTGTGAAAGGGGGCACGGGTGGCCCAGTCGTCTAAGGCGCCGCGATTCGCTGTGCAGAGTTGCGTCCTTTGGGCACGCCAGAAACCTATGATTGTGGGTTCGAATCCCGGTTCGCCCCGATTATGTTTCTAGGTTTTTCAGCACCATACCCGTGCTCGTGGGTTTCACCGAAATGGTACACGTCTGAGACCTGCATCACTTCGGGCTTTCCTCCCACATTAAGCTGACACGCCGTGATATAACTGGAATACTGTCAAAAGCGGCGTTAAACACAACTCAACTCAACTCCAATGTTATAAAATGTATAACAAATCCCAGTTATAACGACCTAATTCCCACGGCCTAAATGACGTCGTTGTACATATTCCAGTTATTTTACTTTACTTTACCGTAATCACTAATGGTTGCTTTGTACTCCTTCAGCCATTTATGCTGTAGTCCCCCCATCATGTCCTTGTGCCTGTGCAATACGTAAGACAAAGAGATTATCTGTGTATTATATTGAAACACTGATTAAAACAGGGATGTGGAGGCTCGTTAAATTTCTTTCTTCATCCATACATGATTGACTGACATTTCTTTGATATTTTTGTAGGA